CCTGCCCCTAGGAGCGGCGGGGTGGGGGGGGGGACTGAGGAGGGAGGCCCCACCTGCCCTGGGGTTCTTTCTGGGAGCACCTGGCTGAGGGAGAGCCTGCCCTAAAGGCCCTGCATGTCAGAGTCGGGCCAACATGGGGTCCTAGCCCAGCTCCCCCGTGCAGACTACACGCCGACCAGGATGAAGGTGAGCAAGTCATGTGTGCCCAGCTGCTTCGAGACCGTGTACGACGGTTACTCCAAACATGCCTCCACCACATCTTGCTGCCAGTATGACCTCTGCAACAGCGCTGGCCTCGCCGTGCCGGGGGCCCTGGCCCTGGCCCCCATCCTCCTGGCTACTGTCTGGGGTCTGCTCTAAATCCCTGCCCCCCACCAAGACCCACTCAAGGACGGAGTTCTGAGAGGCACAGCCCTACCTTTTCACCCTGCGTCCCCCACCCACCTGGTGCCCTCCCCCCAGCCACACCCGGGACCGTCAGCTTCAGGACTCGGGGGCTCGCGGCCTGGGGCCTCCTCCCAGACCAGGACTTTCATTCTCAAAAGGTTGATGTGGGACCAGCCCTCCCAAAGTTGTCTGGCCTTGGTGGGAGAGCTCGCCCCTCCTCTGCCCAAGGAGGGGGGTGTCTGGCAAAATGTGCTGCTCAGTTGGGGTTCTCAGTTGGCTGAGGAACACTGATTTGAGGGGAGACTTGGCCCACCCTCCTAGCAGCTGCCGCGGTCTGCTCAGTAAGGGTGCGGAGGGGTGGGGGACAGTAGGGACCCAGGATGGGTGGGGGCACCCTAGGAAGAAGGGCTTTCTGGAAGCGCACGAGGGCTGTCTCTGTGGGCATGTGAGGAAGGCCTTTGTCCCTGTCAGCCGTCCCAGGTAGTTGTGCAGGGAAGTCCTGTGTCTCCAGGCGGCCTTGGGCAGGGGAGGGGGCGGGCCGTCCTGAAGAGAGCCCTGAGGCCCCCCAGCCCCAGAAGCCTGGTGAGAGGTTCTTCCCCTTCTTGCCAGGCCAAACCCTTGACCTGCCGCATGCCCCACCCTGGCCTGACACTGCAGGCACTTGGCAGGGCAGGCAGGCTATATTTGGTGGAGCCTGAGAGCTGACCGGGGGCTATTTTTGGCAAGGAGAAGGTGGGGCCAAACAGCTTGGCCTTTCAGCCCTCGCCTGCCCCTTCACGGGAATGGGTTGAGCAGCAGCACGCATCCCGGTTGGCCTGGGGTGGAGGGGTGAGTGGGGCGGGGCGGGGGGGGGGGCGTGTTCCTAAGAAGAGAAAGAGGAGGTCGGGGACAGAGGCTGGAGGAGGCAGGGTCTGAGATTCAGACGACCAGGCTCCCTCCAGAATCCCAGAAGTCCCTCTGCACCTTCCAATCCAAAGCACCACTGTCCACACCCACTCGTGGCTGGTCCCCACCTGCTCTGGCCCGCGGGCCTGGCTGAATGAGAGCCGGTGAGCCGGCCCCGGCCCAGAGGCTGAGCCCACCAGCCTGAGGGTCTCCATGGGACCCTTCACCCTCTGACTGCCCAAGGGGAGAAAGAGAAGTCCTCCCCGGGCTAAAGAGCTCCCTCCTTGATTTGGGGAATGGTCTCCAGGTGCCCCCAACCCAGTGGGGTATTGGGGACTCTCGGGGGCCCAAGAATGGGCATTATTAAAGGGTACCCAGCCTAGGTGAACCCCATCTCTGGCCTGGTTTAGGAAACAAGAGTCACCCAGCAACAACAATCCTGGAAAGGGTGGCCCAGGAAACATTGGCCCTCCTTCCAGTGAAGTCAGACTGGACATGCGACATTGTGGCCCAGGTCACACGGGGCCTGAGCGTCCTTACCTAACCAGTGTCCCCAGCTCAGCATCTCTGGAGGGGCCCAGGAGTCCCTTCAAAGCTGGCTGGGCCCAAGTTGGCAGCATTACAACAAATGCCTGTGTGGTGGGACAGTCCCCTGGACTCAGAAGCCCTTGCCCCGAAGCATGGCCCTGATCGGGGAGCCTGTGCTAGAGATTCAATCTGGAGAGCTCCAAGCTGTGATTCCAGATCTCAAGGGATCAGGATACCCTAGGAGAGCCTGGGCCAGCCTGGGTAGGGGTCCTCAGGCCGACCTGGTTGGACCTCCCAGAAGGTCTGGGAAGATGGGTCTCATCCTGGGCCAAGAGGCCCGAAGGAGCTGTACCCCAAGGAGTGTGAGGTCAAGAGCTCAGCCCCCACAGGAGACTTGGGTGTCTCCTCCCCCCGAGGACCGATCCTGTGTGAGCCCTTCCCTGGGGAGGCTGGGAGCAAGCCAGACCGCCGCCCTGAGCTCCCACAGATCCAACGAACCCCCGGGAGTGGTCAGCCTCCTGGAAGTGACAGCACTGCCCCCACAGAGCTGGCTGGAGGGCCAGCACAGGCCTCTGGATGTGGAAGGGGTGGACATGGGCCTCCAGCCCTAGCCAGCCTTGACCTCCTCACTCAGTGGGAGAGGCTTGGGAGCCGTCGTTAAATCGCTTGTGTAAGACCTTCGTCCTGGGCCAGCTGGCATCGTAGGCCAGAGCTGGGAGGGGCACGGGATCAGTCCTCCCTCCTCCATCACAAGGGGGATGAAGTTAGAGCCTCGCGTGTCCCCCTGTGGGCTCCGGGGTCACTGAGAGCAGGGATCCAGCGAGCTGGGCTTGCCATGGTTTGGGGGTGCCCACACCTGCCCTCTGCACCCCTCTGCCCGTGCTCCGCCGCGACCTGGTCCAAGGCCAACACCCACAACATCGCACCAGGTCCCCCAGGACCATGCCACCCCCTCCACCGCCACAGACAGGGCTCTGCCTGGCCCGGATGTCTCTGAAACCCAGCACAGAGCCCCCGGAAAGCCCTCAACCAATAGTGGGCCAGGCCCTCAGTGGGAAATGCCAGTGGGGATGTCGCCGACGAGGATGGTAACCCACATCTGTCTGGTTTCCCTGTGGTCGTGGCTCTGAGCGCTCCACGACCACCCTGCAAGGTGGAAGCCATTATCGTGCCCCCTTTGCAGGTGAGGAAACTGAGGCACGGAGCAATGATGTGGCGGCCCGCCCGGCAGGCTGGCTGGCCACCTCGCCCGACCCCCACAGGCCCGCCCCACTGTGCACTGTCTTCTCCCAGCAGCTAGGAGCTTGAGAGGGCGAAGCCCAGGAGGTGGGTTTGTAAACGGAAAACAATCTTAGCCTGTGAAGTCATTACAAGAGTTTAGGGTCAGGAAAGCTTCGCAGGAGAAAAGTGGAACCAGAGATCTGAGAAGCCGTGAGGACCAGCGGCAGGGCGACTGGCCCGCCGTCTGTGTCCCGGGCCGTGGGCTGGCGTCGCCGACGGGGGAGAGCGCAGGGGCGCCAACGTGACTCCAGGATCCTTCCGACAGAATCGAGCACCCACTGGGTGTGAATAGATGCTCGGGCTCCTCAGAGGTCTTTGTGGTGTCTCAAAGCGGCCTGGGGGTCCCTCGTGCTGGCTGTGCTGTGTCCCCTCCTGTGGCTGTTTTGTGCCTTGTCCTGGGGCACAGCTGAGAAGCTGGGGCTGTGGGCGCTCACCTAGAGACACCGGCCTTGCGCGGAGAGAAGGCGTCAGGAAGGTGTGCGTCCAGGGCTGAGGTGCCCTGCTGGGCGGGGGGCAGGGGGCAGCACCAACCACGTCGTCATCCCCTTTACAGCGGCCGGTTTGTTCCGTGAGCATGTATGTTGTTCTTGCTTCTAAACCTCTGGAAAGGGTACAAAGAAAGGGAGAGGCCTCTTTCTGCCTCGTGCCCTCTCAGTGCGTTTTGTTAGCTCCCACCACTGAACTTGCCGGGAGTTCCCTGTTCACATCTCTGAGCCTCCGTTGTCTCACTGATAAAATGGGAACGACCGTCCCCGCCGAGCTGAGGCCTCGTGGGGGTTAACGAGGCTGTGGGTGTAAGTGACCAGCACACAGGAGGCCTCAGATGGACAGACGGATGGATTGACGGGTGGCGTCCCTTCCCTTCGTCACACTTCCCAGGCCGTGTCCCTGTCAGACGCTAATGCTAACTCCTAGCCCTGACCTTGACCTTGACCCTGACCCTGACCGACACAAGCATCCGCCTTCTCCCCAGAGCTCCCTCCTCTGCTTACACTCTGCACCCGAGGGGTCCGCTCCGTATCTCACGGAGTGAGTGAATAAATGGATGAATAAATGTGTCTGCCCTGCTCTCTGTCCTCACCAGCCACCTTGGTCTGAGCTCAGGTCCACCTTTTGGGTCTGGCATGGCTGGTCACGCCGGCTCTGTCTGTCCCAGACTCCTGTTCACCTTGGCTCATCCAGTCGACGTCGGAGCCCGGACGGACGCAGGCAAGGAGACGACCCGCGGGAGGGGACCAAGCAGGACGGGAAGGAGGCGGGCCCAGCAACTCACCCAGCCCACCCTTTGAGAGGGGCCCCTAGAGAACGCTGGTGGGGGGAGGCGGGACCCCAGGAACCCACCTAGCACCCCAGTCTTCTGGCTCCTTCTCCATCCCTCCAGCCCCCAGCCCTAAGGAGCCCACCAGCTAGAGGGGTGGACAGAAGCCACCCGGGAGCCAGAGCAGACGCACGGGGATCCCCGGACGGTGGGGCCGGCTCCCCATGGACAGCCACCTGCACTGCCCCCGTGGTGCCCCAGCCCCGACAGCTCTTAGCAGAGCGGTGTGGCTCGTGGGTCACCCTGGCATGTCTGGCTGCTGTCGGGTGTCACCCGTCACGGGACCCTTTCAAATACCTTTCTGCTCTCCCCCCACCGCGGGGGAAAACAGCTGCAGGTCTTGGGCCCTGCGGCGTGACCACAGCAGCGAACGTGAGCCCTCAGCACTCTGGCCAGGCGGGCGGCTCCCAGCTGCCACTCGTGGGCAGAGGCCCACCGGACAGGCGGCCGGCTGAGGAGGCGCATGCTCCGGCCCTTCGGAGGGAAGCTGGTCACCTGACACCCCGGGGGCAGCGCTGGCCAGGGCTCCGGCCGGGCTGGCCTCAGCTTCCTCGGCGTGTCTAGGGGGAGGGGTGACCCTCCCGCGGGACACGAGAGGCCGCGTGCTGCCTGTGCCTCCTTGCCGGGTGGGCTGGCGTGATCCCCGCCCTACGACCGGGATTATCCTACCTGCTGGACAGGGAAGGGTTGATGCGGTAAACTGGGCTCGCCCTCCAGCCTGGGGGCCGGGTGGCCCAGCGCCGCGTGGGCCCCAGCCTGGCTCCGTGGCTGAGTCAGCTGGCAGGCGAGTCAGACGGCGGAGCCCGGCTGGTGCAGGGTGGGAGCGGCAGGTATAAGATGCCAGCCTGGCTGCCCGGGGCACCAGCCTCTCTCCGGGACACCATGCGGCTGCTCCTCGGGCTCCTGCTGGCTGCTGCCCTGAGCCTGGAGCTCGGTGAGTCCCGGGTGCCGCCTCCACCCC